ACAGCATATGCAGTGAATAGCCTTTGATGTAGGGACATTTGAACAGAGACCTAAAAAGAAAATGAGGAAGGCACAATGTAGGTATCTCGTGTAAGCAATTTTTAGTTAAGGGAACAGCCAGTTCAAAGGACCTGATGTGAGAGCTTCTTTAGCCTGCTTGAGAAATAGCAAGGAGTGTGATTGCAAGTCAGTGACTCAGACAGAATATGATAGAAGATGAGGAAACCAGGACAGGAAATGAGGTTGCAGACAGACAGGATGTAAGGGAGGCACCAGGGACTAGATAGAAAAACTTTGCACTCTTCCAAGTTCATGGATAGCCTTTGAAGAGTTTTGAGCAGATCAGTGGCTTAGTCAGATTTACATTTTAAAGCAATTACTTTCATTGCTCTGTGGAGAACAGACCATGGGGAGGCAAGACTGAAGCAGGGACACCACTTAGGGGGCTATTGGGACATTCCAAGCCAAAGATTATGGAGGATCAGGTGGTGACAGTTGAAGTGGTAGGTAATTGAGTTTCATGCCCATTTTGAAACTGGAGTCAGTAACATTAGAGATGGGTAGAAGTGCGAAAGAGAGATCTAGAATGACCCCAAAGTTTTTAGTAAATATTTGCAGCTGTAAGGATGGAAATATCACTTGCTGAAAATTTAGGGAGAAGATTGGAGTAAGAGCAGATTTAAGGAGTATATCACAAACTGAGTTTTGAGACAAAAATTTTGAGATGCTTATTGGTTTCAGGTGGAGATATTGAGAGGGCAGTTTTCTTTTTTTATGAATCTGAAGTTCAAAGAGGAGGTTTGTACTGTATGAATAATTTGGGAGGCAACAATTAATTGATGGATTCTAAAGCCACGAGAACTAAATGCAATAACCTAACGACTGGATGTGGATGGAGAAGAGTAAAGATCTGAGAATGAGCTATGGAACACTCTAATGTTTAGAGTTTGGGATTAATTTTGGGAAAGGTCCAGGAAAGAAGATTATGATGGAGTGGCCATTGAGGTGCAAAAAAACAAAAGGAGTATAGTGTTTCCAGGAAGCAAGTGTCCCTGAAAGAAGGGAATGATCACCTGTATCAAAAGCCGTTGATTAAGATAAAGACTAAGAATTGGCTATTGGATTTAGCCATGTAAAATCACTGATGATCTTGACAAAAATAGTTACAGTGGAATGAGAAGGAAGAAAGCCTGATGGAGTTGGGTTCAAGAAATAATGGAGTGGAAAGAAGTAGAGGCAGCAAAAAAAGAAAACTCATTCTTGAACTTTTCCAGGAAAGGAGAACAAGTAGAAATAACTAATAGGGATGTGTGGATCCAGAAATCAAGCTACAAATAACAGTTTTTTCAGCTCTTATTTATATTCAGAGTTGTGATCATACTATACAGGTAATTTTTATTTGACTTTACATCATGTCATTTTTCTTATGGCCAATCTTCATAATTGTACTTCTTGATGACTTTATAATACTCCATTTCATGTACTATTCTACCAAACATTCTTCTGCACTGGGCATTTGTGATGTTTCCAATTTTTGATTATACAAGATAGAAATAAACTTCTTGATGTCAATAGTTTTTCTTCCATTAGGATTATTTCCTGAGGGTACATTCTTCAAGTAAGATTACTAGTAAGTGTATAAACATTTTAAGTTATTCTGTTGCTTCCTTAAAGGCTTGTGCATTGACTTTTCCCTTATCCCCGGGATCTATCTTGTGAGCTTTGAGCCTTCTCACTATGTATCTGTGGTTTCCTGTCTCTTTCCTTAAAATCTCTCTGGCCTACCTTATGCCTCCTCATCTCTCTTCCTCTTTTACTTTTTCTCTGGTGACTGTACAAGGACAGAAAAGTATCAAATTTAATAGACCAGTCATAGACAAGTTCTAGAATCTATCATCAATTAACTTGAGGGGGCAGGGCAGGGTCTGCTGGATTATGGGGTCTCAGACTCTCTCCACATTAGTCACTTCAGAACTTTGAAAACTCATGATGTCCAGGTTTTACCTCACATTAGTTAAAATAGACTCTCTGGGGATGGTGCCCAGGTATTCTTAAAAACTCACCGGTTCATTCTAATGAGCGGTCAAATTTGAGAAACAGTGCGTCAGAACCACTGTGGCAGGAAGCTTCTTGCCTGTTTTTCCCTCTTCCCTTACAAAGGACAGTCTTTCTAATCAGATCTCCACTCAAGAAAGAGGTTAGCGAATGCTAGTGGCCCTGCTATGCCTGAATCTGACTCAAGGTTTATCAGTTTGATATTTACTGTCAGTGATGTTTGACCATTTGACCCACTGCAACATGTTATTCTTCATTTTCTAAAACTGTTGGCAGGATCTTTGCTCTTTTGGTTTCCCTAATATTTGATGCTGTAATTACGTGTTTGGTTTTCGTGTTCTCGGGTAATTTTATGCCACGGGTTACCCCACTAACCCAGTGCCGGGCACCAGTGGTGTGGAATAAATGTTTATTGAATGAATTAAAGAACAACAGAATGAAAAAAGATTTTATTCTATAAATGGCTATAAACTAAAGTTGGATATCAAGTTCCCAGTAATAGACTGTTTTAGATCGTGGGGATCAATTTCTTTAGGATACCTAACAAAGACAGACCATTCATATATATATGTATTCATGTATATATGTATATATGTATGTATGTATAAGATAAATAAATATATATATATACTGTCCTTGTCCATTCCTACCTGAAAATTTTTAGGGTCTAAACCTATAACTGTTCTTCTCTTGCTTCTGTTGTTTTTCTGCAAGATTGACTGGGAGGTGAACCCTGTTTTCCCATTGACTTCTGTAAAAAACAGATCAACATGACTTTCTACAGGGAAAAATGACCAATAGAGAAGAAAGAGTTTTGGTGAAAAGATGGTCAGTCAGGGGCACCTGAGTGGCTCAGTCGTTAACCGTCTGCCTTTGGCTCAGGTCATGATCCCAGGGTCCTGGGATCGAGCCCCGCATCGGGCTCCCTGCTCTGCGGGAAGCCTGCTTCTCCCTCTCCCACTCCCCCTGCTTGTGTTC